TATTAGTAATTGTTTATTTGAACTACTAAATGGAGTAATAAAAATTGAACTTAGAATTAGTTAAATTAAGATAGCTTTAGTAATACTTTAGACTTACTTATTACTTGTGAAAAAAACATTGCTTTCCGAAACAAGAAAACTGGAGCGCGTCCGTTGTCAGTTAATGATTGGTCAAGATAATAGACTTCGTCCCACGATATCGCCCAATTAAAGACAATAGTTGCGTAACATTTGAGGATCCGTAAATGGTTCTTTTTTGACTTGCCAATACAATGAGATGGGGAAATTAACATCGACCTTGTACATTGCGTTTGTGTTTTGTCTTCTCATAAACCTTAAAAGTTCCGAGGGAACGTCATTAACATATAATATTGCTGCTCACGAGAGAGCTTGCTTTTATGCTTGGGCAGATAAACCGGGAGAAAAGATTGCTTTTTATTTTGCGGTAAGCCTTGATTGCTACAGAACGTGCGGTGGAGTGATCCGAAAATCCGAAAGGTTTATTCATTTAATAACCTGCCGTTCCCAACATAATAACGTTTGTATTACCTCCAGGTGCAAGCGGGCGGATCCTTTGATATCGATTATGTCGTAACGGATCCGCGTGGTAAAGAAGTCATTTCCGGTGCGCGCGAACGCCAAGGGGATTTCGTGTTTACGGCCAATTATGTTGGGGAGTATTCATTCTGCTTTGCGAATGATATGTCGACATTCGCCGAGAAACTGGTTGACTTCGAGATCTCAATTGAAAATGAACCTCGAGCCGAATTGCCACCCTCCAAAGGGATCACTCCAGAACAAACAAGTAACATGGAAGAAAGTCGTTTGAGGCTTAGTAGCAGTTTGAGTACCATAGCGAGGACTCAAAAGTATTTTAGGACGAGGGAGAACAGAAATTTCTCTACAGTTAAGAGTACCGAAAATAGAATCTTTTGGTTTGCATTGTTGGAAAGCGCAACAATCGTCGGCATGGCTACTATATCGGTATTCGTTGTTAAAACTTTTTTCAATACCACAAAGCGAGGACATGTGTAAAAAAATTAACATTATTCAGATGGGATTCGGAGAACACGACGTTGGGTTTGGAGTTACAGTAGTTTCGTTTAGATGCGATTGTAATCATGTGATAAAATCCATTTCTTCACATAAAAAAATAAAATCATTTTCTAATCACCATGTGATCCCAATCTCGTACTACCTGATAAATACGCGTAAATTTGGTGACAGAAGTTCTCTCAAGATGAGCGAATCAAGAGATCCTCCGTTCGCACGATTTCGCGATTCTAAGAAGTTATATGTCACCGATTTCGCGTCACTTGCCTGGTGTGAACAACAGCACCATTATTCGCTTGCACGTGGAAGAAAAGTGACGGCCGAAATGAAAGCGGGATCAGATATACACATGGATCTCGAGTTAGACGAGCATCGACTTGATACCATTTCAACGGTATCTGAGGAAGACGTTTGGGGTCTAAAGTAAATGCAGTTATAACTCGATCTCATTAATTATAACTGATGCTTACCGTTTTATAACGCGATAAACGCACGTTCGTTCTAGGCTATATAATCTTTTGTTTGGACTCGAAGCTCTTGCGACTGCCGGAAAAACAAGGGAATTACCGATATTCGGTTTTGTGTTTGACATTTTTGTCCACGGTGTCATTGACCAGGTTCAAAAATCTTCGAATGCAAAAATTCAAAGAAACGGTAAACGGGAATGGATAATATGTGACACCAAAACTCGATCCAGACCCATCCTCCCCCCAAAATCCGCCATACCGTTATCCGTAAAGTGTCAAGTAATGCTGTACAAAAAATTGTTTGACAATTTAGTAGACGGCACTATGGATGAAGAGAGGATGTATCAGGTTTTAGATTTAGATGCTGATAAACCATTTTCAGAAGAATTGGCTGATCTCATAAGCGATAATTTTTGTGAAAATCGTAAGAGTAACAATATAAGAAAACATTCGAAACAAACGCCGACATTAAGAACGGTCATGAAAATGGTAAAGAGACATTTTAAGTTTTTACCGAAATCTAGTAAAACTTTGGAGGTGAATTACAAGTACCAGGGCGATAGAAGCGATTTAGGTTCACTGTACTTTGATTATGATGAAGAAAAGTTAAATGAACACTTGCGACGATCGATCATGTATTGGAAAGGAGAGCGAGAGCCCGAAGGCGTGCCCGTTGAAGAGGCCTGGAAGTGTCAGTAAGTAAAGGAATGAATGGTTTTTTCATGGTAATTTTGTAATGTTTATTGAATCCGTGGTATTCTTATAGAGTTTGCGAATATGCGGACAGCTGTGAATGGCGGTTGAAAAAGATTAGGGAAATAGAACAAAAACAAATGAGTCGCACATAAATGCCATCATGATAATTTCTTTTGAACTGGATATAGTGCTTGGTTAAGGCGGCGGTGATGTTGTCAAATTGTCGAGCTAGTAGTTGATACGGTCGACGTGGTTTTCATCTATCTCTAGATAGCACTATTTCGAAAGTGTGCATAGGCAAATGGCGTTTTTTCGATAAGCATGGTCCTCTTTCTAACACGTGATGGAATAGATTTTTTCCATCGGTTAAATCGATGGACCCATTCCGAAATTTCAGTTATGCAACTTAAATAAAAGTTATAATTTATGATAGCTTCTGAAGCGAAGTTGAACTTTTTTAAGATCGTGATTTTATTGAATTTCCACCTTCAGATGACATCAAGAACCACTGAAATGTTTTCTCTTTCTTTGTCTCGAGTGGTTCCAATTCTAGGTCTAGATGACTTGCCTCGTGTAAACTCAAATGGTAATCTCTCGGATGCCATCCTTGTCTGTGATTTTGATCTTGAAGTCGGGATAATTTATGATGAATCTAGTTTTAAGCTCATCTATACATTTCTTAATTAGAACTTTGGCCTCATCAAGTGTGATATCCGGACGGTGATACCTATCCAAAAGGGATAAACAGTAGTAGGCTCCGTATCCGTGAGCAGAAAAAGGTATTTCAACCAAAGAACCGAGATAATCGATCCAATACAGATGTGGTGTAGAATCTGTGGTATCGTATCCGGCGATGAGGAGATTAACATGATAAGGTTTCTATAACGAATGAAATTAATTAATTTACAGTTAATTCATCCGACATACGACATAGAACGCGTCCACGGTATATAAAAAGGATGTCCGAACAAGCCATCGAGTGAATGAGGTTTGATTCATTTAGCACAAACCATCAATCACCATTAACTTTTGGCCTCTCTTAACCGTAAACACTGGATATGTTTTGATTGTGGCTCACCCTGCTCCTCAGACTTTTCGCCAATTCCCTTCTGGTAAATGTAGCGGCAGCCTTTGGAGTCAACTCAATCCCGTTCATGATCCCATAAAGTTTAACATTTCTCTGAATGTATTCGGCAAAATAGACGGTGTCTCCTGGCTCACCCGAGTACAACATAGTAATGCGTTTGTTGAGTTCGCACGATTTATCTTCAGTAGACTTCATGACAGTGATTGAACGTGCTGCTGTAGTATCCGAGGCAGTAAGCACGAAACCATTTCCTACAATGCCGATAAGAGACTCCATATTGCTGAGAGGATAAGATCCGTATTGCGTGCGTGTATTATTGAAGATCCTTGGTTACGCAAGTGCCGGTGGAAATTAAAATGCCGAGTAAGAATTTATAAAAAAAAAAATTTTTTTAATCTATAATAATACGGTATTTTAAAAAATTTTCATTATACAGTATATTTATATATATATATATACATAAATTAAATAATAAATTCATATAAATCGTTATATTAATTAATGATTCCCTGTTTTGTATGGACACGTCATCTCATGCGTGTGATACGTAGAAGTCTATGATTGAATTCTTCGTCGTGGTCTTCCTTATTGTAACATCACGACGCGTCATATTGGCAAAATAACGTTAAGAGATGGGTGTATAAGGGAATGATGTGTGAGGATATGCTAATACCCTGGAACCATCTGCCACAAATATAGTGTAGCATATTGACATGAGGTACGAAATCCATAAATCCCATGATATCGTAAACGTTCATTCATTCATTCATATTTCCTAACACTACGCCCCGCATTTCTAACAACGACCCAAGCTCTCAGATCGTTGAGCATTCTCTACTGAACTGGAAAGTGGCTGGATCTAGTATCTTTATTACAATGGCAGCAGAACCTAATTCCGGGTGACAATTCTTTTGGTAGACGTATGATAATAGTTTTCTTCCCCGCTTCATGAATTTCCTTTCCTGAAACTTCCGGAAGAGTGTCTCCATTGGCCTGTTTTCTTCCTCTGTTAGCATTACTTCAATTTATTCGGAAATATTACAACTTCATGTTCTTCGTCAGGTCACCCCCATTACCTTCTTCAAATTTTCCAGTTAATAAAATAGACTATCACAAATGCGCAGTACACGGTGTTATCCCCTTGAAGGTAGTGCATTCCGAACAATGATATCTGGTAAAAATGTTACAGTAGATTTGGCAATTACGTTTGAATATTTGGAGAAGTAGGATATATACTTTACTTTATATTTTTTTTTGTCACATTAAGTGGGTTTGTGAAAGGTGAATGACATATCTCGTCGAACAACTCGAACTCAAACCATAAAATAAATACATCAATGCAAAATCTTGAACAGTGTTTTATTGAAGTTCTACAGATTCATTACCAATATCAAGTTTAAAACTATAAACATGAGCTATGTCCTGATAACTTTTTACAAATGAAAGAAGGAAGTACTTTTGGATAGGAAATGTTCGTCGACTCTATATAATTATAAAACAAAACAGTCTGCGTAGTATCCAAAATCAGAAATATCCGTAATCCAACGAATAACGGTTAATTATCTGAAATTAGTCATTAGCCTTTGACTTTCCTGTCGGCGACGATATTGATTTCTCCATTTGATCTTATCATAAATGGAATACACATACACTACAATCCCGATGAATGTTATGCCGCCAAATATAATCATACCAAGTGGAAATATTCCAAACGTCGTGCCAGGGAACGGTGCCGGTTGACTTGCTGCCGAAGGCGAAGGCGAAGACGAAGACGAAGGCATGGTCATGGTCATGGTCATAGCATTAGCGGAGGAAGCTGGAGAGTGTGTACTACTAGCACCAGTAGCGACGGCGAATGGTAAGGATTGAATATAAAACGCGATAAGAATTACCAATGTATGTGACATTGGAATTTGTGCCATTTAGATGATTGCTTAAATTTCGAAATAATATTGAGGAGATATATGATGATATGGTTTATGATAACTTTTATATTATTTTAAAGTCATGTACCAGCATGAAATCTTATTAGCGGTCTAAAAACAAGATAGGGGAGAGAGAGAGGTGTGGTTGAGAGTAAAAGAGAGAAAAAAAGTAGATTGATCACGGTTATATATTTATCATCCATGTGTTATGCTTTCCATTATGCATGCATATTTTACTTCAAACACAGAATTCTTATTATCCTTAAGCAGCTAGGTAACATCATCGATCCAACTTTTACAAGCACAAGAATTGAAAAGCATTTTTGTTTGAGGGTATGATCGACTTGTCATGACACAAAAATCTGTTCTCCCTTACCAAATGTTTCGAATAGAACTAGGAAAAAAAAAAGTCCACATATGTGTTACAATTAGGTTCACAAATCATACTGCGTGTTCATAACTTCTTGTGCTCTCTGAAAAAGTAATCAATGTTTCTTTTAATAATTACTCAAATAATGCCATGCCATATTATCGAAAGAATCAATGTTGCCTGACATACATTGCACTCTCGTCGTTTTCTTTCCTCTCCTATCAAATTCCTACGAGGAAAATTAATTAATGCTGTGTTCATTCAAAGAAAAAGACACCTTGATCAAGACAGTTTCAGAAATGACTAGATAAAAATCACCCGATTCTCAGCTTTCATTGACTTACTGTATATATGGAAAGTTTTTAAAAATCACGACAAAAATACCCCCCCCGGTGAAATATAGTCGATTCATGCATGGATACTTCAAATGGTGCATATTTTCCGAAACATCGAGTTTGTAGGTTCATTCATGGAGTGTAACATATACGCATATACGGACTTATAGAATATAATATACTGTACGTATATAGAATAGGAATGTAATGTGCATATAAGGTTTAAGTTAAATATTGTTGAGTAGTGTGTAAAATGGTTAATAAATTACGAAACAAAAGGTGAGATAGATTTGCGAGTGGGTGGTTTGTGAATTTAAGGTGTGGAACGTTGAATGGGTAAGTTCGCGAAACATTGGATGAACGTGTTTATGGGATGTAGTATAGGGTAGGCGGGATAGATGAGCGAGTGGGTTCGCGGAATGTAAGATATGAGATGTGAGAAGTAAGGCGAGTGAATTTCGAACGTAGGGTGTAGAACGTTTGGGTATATAGATTGGGTTCATGGAACATTATGCAAAATATGAAGTATTAACCTACTTTATTAAAAAAAAAATATTTATAGTATAGTATATACTGTATTTTTGCAACATTAGTAGATAAAATTTTGTAAATCATTTATTATTATTATTATTATTATTTAAATTTGCAGTTATCAAGTATATACAATATAATAATAATTTTTTTTAAAAAAAAAAAAAAATTATCAAAAATCCAATTTATTGAATTTATTATATCCATATTTAATTTTAAATTAGAAATCTATTTATAATAAAGATCTATAAATCAATAGTATAATGATAATGCTCTCAAGTTATTAAATACTGTTTTCAAGTTCAATATCATTATAAGGTAGTACTATCTAAAAAGTTTAGGTGATACAAGAAGATCTCATCCATTTTATAATTTTATAATAAAGACCTAATTATTAATAATCAAGATTTTGCCTAATTATAAAGTATTCAAAAAGATTATAATCATTTTTAATACTAAAACCACCTTATCTTTTAATAGGTTTCTCAAGTTTCAATAAATAAATTAAAAATTTATATAATAAAATCAAGAGTTTAATAGTTTTTTTTTTTTTTTTTTTGCTCTCTGTCAGACTAGTTACATATGCTTTATTAAACATTTGTAAGCTGTACATATAATATGAAATGCTAAAACTAATTCTTTAACTAATTTACTCGTCTTGATTGTTTTATCTTTCTAAGTATAACTTTGAAAGTAATTTATCACTCCATTAGGAGTTCAGGTAAATATCCTTCCAACTTCTAACATCATTACCAGCAAAAATCACTTTTTTGAGTTCTGACAGAGATTAAAATCCAATTATTTTATCCCATACTTTACCCCATTTCTTAGGACCTATTTGAACATCATATTTTCTGATTCTTCTTCCTTTAATAGTACTTAATATGACTGATTTCCTGATATCTTGATCCTGTTTTTTTGCTTCTGTAGATGTGTCGATCTTTTGATCTTGTCACCTCTGTTGATTCCTAATATCTGTTCCCACTCTATCATCCTTTCACATCTGACATTTCAAATTTTCTTTCTGAAATAGTTACATGTTTTCTTCTGCATCTTCATTATCTATTTTCTTGCTTCTTTACCGATTCTCTTTCCATAGTACTTTGAGTCTGTTATCTCATTTATTAGGTCTTTTTCAATCAGTCCCATGCAGAAGCTAAGTATATTCTGAACAGTATTTGAGATTTTTTTCACTAGTTGAGCTATTTTCTTATATATTTCTCCTCTTTCTATTCTGTTATCAACTATTAGGCTTATCTCTTTTTCTTCTGACTCCTTTTTTCTATCTACCAGCAGTTTGTTGAAACTTTGCATCATATCTTCTATACTCTTCTACCAGATTTCTTGCCACTGAGTTTTGTATACTGGACATTCTAACAAGTGTTCTATTGTCTCTTCTTGCTGTCCACATACGAGACATTTTACTTGCTTGTATAAGTCTAGTCTTCTTGTGGCTAGCTTTGTTAACATGGATAGCTTATTGCTGGTCATCTTAACAAGAAAGCTTTTTCTTTGTGATCCTTTGAAAAAGATATTCCATATATACTCATTATTCATTTGTTCCCAAACTAGGTCCCATGTATACCTGTGCTGGTCTTGAATTTGATGATCCCATTTTTTATCTATTCTATTTTGAGTTGTCCATTGGTGTATCATTATTTTGGCATTGGTTTTTTTAACAAACTGTCTTATTGGAGCATCCAACACTATATTTTGCCATTTAATTTCACTAATAATCTTAGATGAGTCCAAATCTTGCCATTCTATTGTTGATAATTTTAATGTTTCTTTGGCTAGAATGTCTGTTTCCTCATTGTATTGAATATTGGAGTGTACTTTAACCTTAATAAGATTTAGATCTAATTTTTTTTTTTACCAGGCTCAATATTCATACCCACAAGGAGTAATTTTGTTCCTTTAACTATCTTTTGTGGGTTTTTTTGGAATCCTTCTTTTCTATAGTTTTTCATTTGGAGATGCAGACTTGACTGCTAATGTGGATCTTGATCTTGCTATTAATTGGTACTACTAGTA